TTGCTGTCTCCTATCAGATCATAAAAGTTTACATCTCATTTGTGTGCTGTAACTTCTGGAGGCGATGGCTGCCTTCATCTTTAGTTCCTCTTTTTCTCATGAAGGAAACCTTCTGTTCTCTCAGTTCAAACAACTTTTATTTTGTCTTAAATGTCAAAAATTCTTCTAGCAGAGGCTCCCAGTCTGCTGTTCCCTTTAGCTTCCTGTTTTTCTCCATTCACTCACTCAGTCCAGGTCAGCCTTACCTTGTTGGATCAGTCACTTGGGGTCACGGCTGCCTTTGCTCAGGTGGATGAACTTGTGGACTCAGACGGCTGCGTTAAGAACATTCCTCATTCCTGGTTCGGAGCTTCCATTCCTCCCTAATCCTGCCGGTCAGGCTGCAGATGTGAACAGGGCGGCGGAGCGGCGGCGCACTGGACTCAAAGGAGGAAGTTTGAGCTGTGCGCATCTGAGCTGGTGCAAAGAGGAACAAGCAACACGTCAGGCGTGCCTTTTGGTTTCACTGGCTGAACAGACCACAGCTTTGCCTTTCTTCTTTTTTCAGCTTCACTTCGCTGCTTCTTGTTGGTTCCTCTAGTGGAAAGAAGACCAAAGCTTAAATGCAGTTTCCCAGCTGGGTTTTAATTTAGATCCAGTGGGAATGGGCGGTTCGGTGGAAGAATGCACGCCTGAATGGCACCGCAGATGTCAGGCACATTTGCATGGTGTGCAGGGAAGCTCAAACAGGTATTCAAATGATGGTTTGACAGCTATCGTGCTGAGTGTCTTTGTGTGGCACTGAGATGTGTGGGAGGGTGGATCAGCCCCCGGGTCACAGCAGCAGCCCGGCTCTAATACACAGCAGAGATGTAATCCTTAATCAGGAATCAGGATTAGAAACAAAGTTCCCTCTGAAAGCCTAAGAAAGGAGAAGTAGGAGAAGTTCTTCATCCATTTCACATTCGATCCTCAGGGAGAAAGTCTTCCTCTTCACTACAGAGCCGGAGTTATTTTAATAATTACACAACAGATTGGCCCCAGATTATGATGGAACCGTGGAAACCAAAGGGCTTTGCGTGCATTCTGCCGTCGCTGGGATCTGATTCTTCCCTGAACAAAGTGTCTCAATCAGCTCCTGCTTTCTGTTGATATTTTACATAATGCTTAATCCCTTTGATCCACATGGATTTCCCTGTTATCTGGATTATTATTCAGAAGTTTGTGAATATCTGTCCTTCAGCCAAGGCTGCATGTCTTAAGTTGACCTTATTTGTCCCACTTCCCTGTTCAGAAAATCAAACAAGCGTTAAAAGGTTTCCACTTTGAGTGAACAAACATCTGACATGACCAAGTCTTTCAAAAGTAAAGAAAAGCAGCTTGAAACCCGTAATCTGAGGCTATCTGAGGCTCTTACACTTTAAGCTGACTGTTCGTCCATGACAATTAGAAAGAACAAGTATTGCTTGTTTAGGCAGGTTGCCAAATATCCTTTCCACTGAACCAGAACATTTTTTCATGTTCCATTTTCAGGAAACACTGAAAAATTGTTTGGTGGGTTAAATATAAAAGAAATTAACCCAACAATCACATTTTTGTGTTAACAGGAAATTAAAGATTAACATATGGAAGAGAGATTTTTTTTTTTTTTTTTTTTTGCAGTGCTGGTTTGAGGTTTGCACATTTCTGCTTGCTTGAATCTCAACATTTTTGGAACAGTGTGCTCTGACAGATGACTTTATATTTAGAATAAAACACATTTTTAACACATCACTCTACACTGCAAAAAATGTTTGACTTGAAATATTTTTAAATATGATGAAACTGAGTCTAAATTTAAGCCAAGCAAACGACGCCTGGCTGGATAAAGGCTGATTTATACTCAGGAACCAGGTCGTCAGCGTGTGTGTCGTGGTGAATGCAGATAAGCCCCGCCCCTTCTCCAAAACTGTAGGTGACCGCAGACAGGAGGCCTCTGATTGGTCAAATCTACATCCGCTCTACACTATGCCTATTTCCTGTTTGGTTCCTTACCGGCTTGTTTTGTTTGTCTGACCGCCATTTTGGAAAACGACTCGTAAAGATGGAGCAGCTAGCAAAGCGAGGTGCGCTGGGACCCTTTTTCCACCTGGATCCCTGCTCTTTTTGGCCCTCATGTCCCTTCGTTTTCGCACAAACTTGCCCCCTTCCTTCCTAACCTGACTCCGCCAGGTGGATTTGCTCCGCATATCCATCTGGAAACCTTCCGTTGAAGTAATTTTGGGAAGGGGCGAAAATCCTGGTTAGCTGATTGGCCTATGTTGGTGATAGACGGGCCAAATAAACCAATCAGATCAACGAAGCATATGACGTACTAACAGAGCGACGACGAAGAGGAGCCAATTGATAGATCAAACTCTTGCCGAAACCAGTCGGGAGAAGAGCAAAAACATCTTTTCCTCTGAGAAAAGCCTCCAGAGCAGTGTTTTGCTCTTCTTTCAGTGAAGAAATACTCTGTAATTCCGATAAAACTTGCTCGATAGCCACGCTAACGCTAGTTTCATCGGCTGAAGCCGCCATGTTCTTTAGACTGAACTGTCGCGCTTCTCGTTGCGTCACACCAACGCTGATTGGACGTTCGTTTGGTGAACGGCTCCAAATTTTCTTCAACGGAGAGTCTCCAGACTGATTAGCGAGTGAAACCTTGAAAGCTCGCGAGATCAGGATGGTCTCACGAGGCTACTTCCTTTCCGATCTAGACCCACAGCTAGTGTCCTTACTGCTAAAAAGGTGATCAGAAAAAAAAGTTGCGGCAGATCATTTCTTTGTTTTGGTGATGTTGCTCTGGGAGGTTTTGCTTCTGTTATGGATTAGAACCACATTTTCACTGAGGAGGTCAGATTACAGCCCGTCCCTCTGACATCACATCCCTGCGGCTTCTTTATATCCACGAGAAAACCCTTTTTTTTTCTCTTCCCCTGGACCTCAGTCTGGATGCAACGGAGGGACCTGAAATTCCAGCTGGACATCATGTTACACGACTGTTCTGACACAACGGATGAGGAGTTTGGTTAAATCTCTGCCTGTCGATCAACCAAGTTAGTACCTGGTTTTATTTCCTGTCCAGAGGAGCCGTGTCCGGCGTTCCCTTCTGTGCCGTGGGCTGTTCCAACCCAGAGACCACTGAGTCGCTAGCTGCCTCCTGGGCTGAAGCATTGTTGGCCAATCTATTACAAGCTACATAAGAGATCCTATCACATCACCTTTGCTGTACTGGTCACCCTCTGAGTGACCGAGGAGGACAATAGACCCAGACCTGCTGGAATTAAGCCTCAGAATTGCACCAAAGCCCCTCCTCTCCCCTCCTGTGCGGCAGCAAGAAGTTAAGGATCTTTATTATTTAGAATGTACCTTGTCTGGACAAATATAATGAATGTTTAGATGCTGATTGGTTTATGAAAAAGGATTTCCTGAACTATGTTTGCAGACGTTTATGACAAACGTTCATATGGTGCGTTTTTGACGTTACAGCCGTCATCCCCTTCTTCTCACGACTCAGAACAGAGGACCCAGTATTCAGACTCAGACATACTTTAATAATCCCAAAGGGAAATTACTTTTGTTACACGCTCCAAATATACAAACATATACAAATATATATTTATATATATATATAAAAAAATATACATTATTTTCTCCCCCCTCCTGGGGTGGTATGTGTCATCCTCAAGCTGGGGTCCTCTACCAGAGGCCTGGGAGTTTGAGGGTTCTGC